TTACACTGGTTCCACATTTTTTCACTGGTGCATTACAGTTGAACATACTGTTATGTCCCTCCATGTTGTTACATACATAGTGTTGTTACAGACTCCTGCCTGCACACAACAGAACAATGTAATGTGGCAAATATCACTCCCTAGCACTTCCCTGTTCCTTCCCAATTTTTCCCTCCTCCCTTTTCTCTAATGATCTCTTTTTAATTTTTGTGAAATCCCTTTCCCTGCTTCTTTTCCATTTACCTCTCTAGCTTCCAAATATGAGGGGAAACATGTAATCTTTGATCTTCTGAGTTTGGCTTATTTCACTTAATATAATGACCTCAAATTTTATCCATTTTTCCTGCAAGCCACATAATTTCATTTTTCTTTATGATGGTATAAAACTCTCTCTCTCTCTCTCTCTCTCTCTCTCTCTCTCTGTGCATATGCACATCAGTATCATAGTTTCTTTATCCATCCTTCTATTGACTGGTTCCCTAGTTTGTCTTTTGTGAATTTTGGTGCTATAACCATGGTATTCATGGATAACTATAGAATGATGACTTTAATTCTTCAGAATAAATATCAGTGTCTGGTACAGTTGGGTCATATAGTAGTTCCATTCCTAGTTTTTTTGAGGAAACTGTATACAGATTTCCATAGTAGTTGTATTAATTTCAAATCCCACCAAGAGTGTAAAAGTGTTCTTTTTTCTCCTCATCTTCTCCAGAATTTATTATTATTTGTATGCTTGATGCTTGCCATTCTGAATGGTGTGAGATAAAATCTCAGTGTAGTTATTTTTTTTTTTTTTTTGGTACCAGGGATTGAACTGAGGGACACTCAACAGCTGAGCCATATCCCCAGCACTATTTTGTATTCTATTTAGAGACATGTTCTCACTGAGTTGCTTAGTACCTCATCCTTTCTGAGGCTGGCTTTGAACTCACAATCTCCTGCTTTAGCTTTTTAAGCAGGGCTTCTGGGATTAAAGGTGTGAGCCTCTGTGCCTGGCCTTCAGTGTAGTTTTGATTTACATTTGCTAATTGCTAATGATGTTGAACATTTTTTTCATCTATTTGTTGACCATTTCTATTTTTTTTCTTGAGAAGTGTTTAATTCATTTGCTCATTTTTTTAATTGGGTTATTTGATTTTTTTGGTGTTAGGTATTTTTAGTTTTTTATTTATTCTAGATATTAATCCTCTCTCACAGAGTAGTGAGCAAAGATTTTCTTTGATTCTGTAGGTTCTCTCTTCACATTCCTAATTCTTTCTTTTGATGTGCAGAAGCTTTTTAATTTGATGCCATATTAGGGGAAAATATTATTTGGTTCTATCTATTATGTATCTATCATTGATCTGTCATCTTTCTATCAACTATTTCTCACTTTTCTATTAATCATCTATTGTATGCAAACAAAACAACAGGAGGTCACTTGTCAGTATCCACAGGTTGCCCAAGGGTGGGGCTATTGTACTTGTACCACAAAGGTAAAATGCAGCTCACTTGGCAGCTTGGGAAGGTTGCCTGTGGTATGAGTCATGYCCCTGCCAGTCTCTAGGGCCTGTGTGTGGGTTGGGGTCATCTAATGTGTCTAGGTAATGCATCACAGTCTGTGCAGCCTGTACCTTTCAGTTTCCATGGGAAGCACAGTCGGTGGGGGCATAGCAGCAGCTCAGAAGAGCAACTCATTCACTGCACTGGGGGAAGAACACAGTTGGATTGGGTCTCAAAATGGAGCAGCCTGGGTTGGGGGGAGTACTACATGGACTGGGTTCTGCCTCTGGTGTAGTGCAGTGGGGAACACTCCCTGATGATATTAGACTGTCACTTTTGAAGATGATATGACCTTACATATAAAGTAAGACCTCCAAACTCCCCCTAAAACTAATTATAACAAATTAATTCAAGTTGCACACAAAATGAACATACAGAATAAATAGCATTTGAATACACCAATAGGAAATTATTTGAAACAGAAATCGAGAAAGAAATTTCATTTATGATAGTTAAAAAATATGTTTATCTGTAAATTTAACCAAAGATGTGCAAGATCTCTCTATATAATAAAAACTATAAAATTTAGATGAAAGAAATTGAAGAGGAAACACAGACAAAAATGGAAAGATATCCTATGTTTTTGGGATAGAAGAATCAATATTGTTAGCAGGTCTATAATATTCCAAACCATCTACATATTTAATGAAATCTCTATCAAAATGCCAATGGCTTCTTCACGAAACCCGAAAGCATAATTCTGAAATTTGTGTGGATCCACAGAAAACCCCAAATAGCCAAATCAATGAACCCCAAATAATCATTCAAAAAATAATGAAACAGGAGTCACCCTGATACCTAAGTTGAAAACACATTGTAAAACTGTAGTAATCAAAATGGCATAGTGTTGGCATAGAATCAGGGACATAGACCAGTGGAGCAAAATAGCCTAGAAGAAAACAGAAATATATACATCTAAGCCAACTGATGGTTGACAGTTATTTCCCTAAATGGTGCTGGGAAAATTGGATATCAACATGCAGAATTGTGAAAGTAGACTCCTGACTCTCTCCAGTTATAGAAATGAGTTAAAATGAACATATATATTAACTATTAGACCTTAAACATTTTTATGAAGATAGTGATGTCCTGTCTTGTGATTTTAAGCATTGACTTACATGGTGTGCTTACCACTCTCTCCCAGCATATTCATACATTTCCTCTCTCCCACAGATATTCAGTGTACATGAGGCTAATGTTAACCAAATTCTGACGATTCGTTGCTGACTATTCTGATGTCTTTATCTGGAACATAGGCAAGAATTTCACTGATCTCCGATCTAAGCATGGAATTAGACACAGGAGGAGAGGAATATATGTGTCTTATTGCAGAAGGATTTCAAGTAGAATGGCCAACGTTTTATAGTCCTAGTTATATTAAAGCAATAAATTTAATATCTATTCTTTCCAGTACCATATAAAATAGACACTGTTAATATCTATATTTTAGATTTGTGAAAGACAAGCTTCATAAACTTCAAAAAAATAACCCTAGGTAATTCTGATAGATCATTGAGAGTCTGAGACTTGAACTAAAGCCTGTGTTTTTAACCACTGTGTGGCATTGCTTCTGCTTTACCAAACCGATTTTGAGAGAAATTTGGATGTGGAGGAATTAATAATGTAGGTGTGACTGTTTAAGGATATTCTGTATCAGTTAAGTGGTACATCAATGAATCTGGAATATATTGAAAATCAAATTAAATACTAGATATTCAAAATAGCAGAGACTTTCCATACAAGACCTTTTATTCAGCAATACTATACATGCTCCAATACTTTCTGTGGGTCTGACAATTTGTATTCATGATCAGTACAATCCAGCTTTTACCTTAAATGCTTGAGAAGCATCATGCTCATGTTAGCACATATAAAGTATATCCACGTAGTGGGTTATGTTGCATTTGTACTTAAAACAGTAAACAACATCCCACAACATGTTAGGATATCATTAAACTACATAGACATGCTCACATTAAACAATWAGTGTTCTTCCATTGAAATCAAGGTCCTACCAGTACCGGTTAAAATTTAAGTTGTTACCCTGAATCCATTTGCTGAGTTTTTTTTTGTTATGGTAGTTTATTCCAGTTATTTTCTTTGGCTCATAATTTGGAATATTCTAGATATAAAACTAAATCCATACCTTTTATTATTTTCACTTCACAGAATAGATATCCGTGGTGGTTTATGTTAGAGACAAAAGCAGTATATATGAAGAAGTTAATGGAATAGAGCAGACCACAAAATTTGTGTTTTCTAATATCTAATTAATATAAACACAAGGATGAAAATATAACCATCATAGGATAAAGGAATTGGTCCATGTACAGTGTTTGCATGCATTTGAAATATGACACTGAACCCCATTAATGTTTACAATGAATGCATATAAATAAAAACATCACCAGAAACTATCAAAGAGAGAGAAAATCTCTTGCTATTAACTTAACAATATGTCATCTAAGAAAATAAACAATAGATTCTGTCAAGGAGAGGCACAGAGAGGCCTCCAACCTTCCTCTAGGAGCCTCTTTTAACCCTAACCTCTAGAAAGTGGGTATGTGAGGTGACAAAATCTAGAGAGTTTTTTTTTCTAATTTGAATGAAGTTGACTAAATGTATACTCTTTCCTTTCATTTTCCTCTTACAAAGGGATGGAGGTTGCAATGGCTACAACTAAAACCTAAATGATAAAGGAGAGAAATGAAATTATACTTCAATGGAAGCACAGTTTCTGGGACTGAGGAAGAAGGTCAGTGCCTCACAATGCTGATGGGCATAGGGCGTTTCTTTTTTCTTTTCTTTTTTTTGGGGGGGGGTGGTGGTTACTGGGGATTGAACTCAGGGGCAATCAACCACTGAGCCACATCCGCAGCCCTATTTTATATTTTATTAGAGACAGGGTTTCATTGAATTGCTTAACACCTGGCTTTTGCTGAGGCTGGCTTTGAACTCGCAGTCCTGTCTCAGCCTCCTGAGCCACTGGGATTATAGTTATGTGCCACTGCACCAGGCTTATAAGGCATTGCTTAACACTCCTCTGACTCATGACACTCAACTAACCCCACAGTTTTCAATTATGCACTTTATGATCAGCCTTCTTCATCACCCCAGATTCTTCACCACTTCTCCTTACAAGCAGTGTTTTGCTTCTTAAATTTGAAGTCATTTTTGTAAAGAAGAGCTAAGTCTTTCTGTTCTTTGCTGGATCATTCACCTGTCTCTAGTAGCACTTACTATGTCATTTCATTTCTTTTTTGTAAATGTATCCAAAAATGTAGAGTCTGTATACCTTACCTCTATTCTAGATTTGTAGATTCCTTGAATATTAGAACATATGATTTCTGTATTTTTATCTTCAAGAGCCAGTTCAACCCTTGAAATTTAGTAAACTCTCAATGCATATTTATGAAGTGAAAATACATTTTTAATTGAAGGGTGTTCTTTTTTTTTTCTTAAAACTTCACAATCTTTCTGACAGTGTCTTTGAAGACTTGCTTTACTTGTTGATTTCTTAGTGTATAAATGAAGGGATTCAACATGGGTGTGACTGAAGTAATGAGCACAGCTATTCCTTTTTTAAAAGCACCTCCTTCTTTTACAGGGGATTAATGAACATAAACATGCAGCTGCCATAAGACAGGGAGATGACAATCATGTGGGAAGAGCAAGAGGAAAAGGCCTTTGTCCTTTGCTGGGCAGAGAGGATCCTCAGAATAGTCCTGATGATGTATGTACAAGAAACTGTCACCAGAACCAAAGTAATCACTAGAGTCACCACAGCCATGAGCATGACCATCCTTTCTAAGAGGCTTGTGTCTGACCAGGCCTGCTCCAGATGGGGCCTATTATTTTATATATATATATATATATATATATATATATATATATATACTTAAATTAATGATCAGAAGAGAAACTAGAGGACACATGGTTGTGTTTTGGTGGTGTCTTACAAAGGCAAAAAGAAGAATGCCCTTTGACAATAGTCTGATTTTTTCTCAATATTTTTGAATTATGAAGGAAGATTATACCCATACTATGGCCATAATATGAACAATTTATATGTCTGATCAAAATATAAAGTGTAGTTGATAATTTGATGTTTGATAAACAAAGACAATAGTTCCATATGTACTATAAAAGCACAAAAGTCTTTATGGAGGCTCAGCTTGATACTCCCTCTCCAAGGAGCTTGATATTAAATCAGAGACACGGCATCTGATAGAAGAAAAAGTAGGGTATGATCTACATACTGTGGGATCAGGCTCCAAATTCCTCAATAGGACACCCATAGCGCAAAAGTTAACAACTAGAATCAACAAATGGGACTTACTCAAACTAAAAAGTTTTTTCTCAGCAAAAGAAACAATAAGAGAGATAAACAGGGAGCCT